TGTGCGCCGCAGCTAGTTGTCGACCTCTGTTTATTAGCCGCCGTGTTTCACCGCTGTTTTCGTTTGTTTGTTGGTTTGTCTGTTTGTAGGGACCGAGTGCTACAGCTGTAGTCGACGAGGCCCGCTCACGCCAAAAAAGTGAAACAGGTCGCGACTTGCAGACTTAGCCATCGTTCGACCTTCTAGATGTACCGTCTCTCAATTGGTCTTCTCCGAAGCGGCAACAGAAGCACGAGCATCCCGGAGAGCAGTGAGGAAGAGCGCACTGCTGTCATGCTACATAGGTTTTTGGGGGGGTGTTCAAACCCAAGGTTTGGAACATAGAGTTCTGAACCCAGGGTTCTGGAACTCCGAACTAGGAGTTTGGAGCCTCGAACCCAGGGTTCGAACATCGAAGTTCCTTCCGAACCCTGGGTTCGAACTTTGAGTTGAACTCCAAGTTGAACTCAACTCCGAACTTCTTGAACTGGAGTTGAACCTGGAGTTGAACTCTGAAGGCGAAGAGTTTGAACCCAGGGAACATGGAGTTTCCGAACCCAGAGTTCGAACATAGAGTTTCCGAACCCAGGGTTCGAACTCTTGCGGCCCGAAAGTTTCAACCCAGGGTTCGAACACAGAGTTCCCGAACCCAGAGTTCGAACGTTGAGTGTCCGAACCCAGGGTTCGAACTCTGGCGGCCCTAAAGAGTAGAAACCCATGGAGTTTCCGAACCCAGAGTTCGAACTCTTGTATCATTGCTTCTTGTTCTCTCATTTTATTTTCTTCGCAAAAAATTCCATTAAGCGATTTCGTGTGGCTTCTTCTTCTTTTGTTTGTGCTTGCGTTTGAGTTTGTGGTTTCTGTCATTGTAGTGTGCTCTCAGTTAATTTTCTTCGCAAAACCTCACAAAGCGATTCTGTGTGGCTTCTTCTCCTTTTGTTTGGTGATTGTTGGTGTTCGAACCCCGTTCGAACTCTGGGGGGAGTCTAGAACCCGGGGTTGGGCGGTTCATTTGTTCGCGGCTTTAGCATTCTCGTAGGAGACCTCATGCCCCTTCTGAAGCCCCCTTGAGAAGAAAGACTCCTCATTGACAATCTTTTTCTTTGTTTTGTCTTTCTTTGATTTCTTCGCAAAAACACCCATAAAGCGGTTTCGTGTGGCTTCTGCTTCTTTTGTGGCAGGGACTGGTCATTGGCAGCCTTTTTCTTTGTTTTCGGCAAGCTTCTAAAAACAGCGGGGGGGTTGGGGGGGGCGCAGCCCCCCCCAAACTTGGAGTTCCCGAACCCAGGGTTCGAACGCCCCAGGGGCGGGGGACGACTTCCAGAACCCGAGGTTCCAACATAGAGTTCCCCAAACCCCAAGTTCCAACATAAAGTTCCCGAACCCAGGGTTCGAACTCCCTGGGGGACCGGGGGGGGGTTCCGAACCCAGGAAAGGGGGAGTAGTTCCCGAACCCGGGATTCGAACATGGAGTTCTCCAAACCCCGGGTTCGAACATAGAGTTCCCGAACCCAGGGTTCGAACATAGAGTTCCCGAACCCCGGGTTCGAACACAGAGTTCCCGAACCCAGGGTTTGAACATAGAGTTCAAACTCCAGGTTCAACCTGGGTTCGAGAAGTTCGAACCAACCCAGGGTTCAACCCTGAGTTCCGGAGTTATATGTTCTCCCCCCCCCCCGCGGGGTTTCCGGGAGTTTGAACCCTGGGTTCCGGAACACTCCAAAAGCCTATGCTCGCTGTCATGTGCCTTTGATGTAAAGCAGCCATCATTGATTATATCCGGGCAAAGAAGAGAGCCAAGCGCAGCTGCTCCGACCAAGGCGTCGTATTGGAGAATCCCAGTTTTCCGACGACGTGTGGGTTTTGCGAGGGAAGGGCACCGCACACGCATTCCATCGAATACCGTTGAATCAAGGTGCCACTGTCCACCCGTGCATGGTTTCCCAGTGCAGACATCGCAAAAGGTGATGGAGGACATCGGCACTTGAGAGGAACACGTCCAACAGTGTTAGGGCGCGGATCCTCCAAAAACTGCCCACTCCAGTTCGCACTCTGAAGTTGCGATATTCCAGACCTCTTTTTCAAACTTCTCGAATTGCCAACGGCCTCCAACACCAAGGAATCCCCAGATTGCATGCCACGAGTTGGATCTGAGCTTCTGAAATCTTTTTTTTGGCGCCCTGGCCGAAGTTTGCACATCTGGAGCGCGTGGCTTTCTCGCGATTCAAGAACAGGGTGCGCCAAGTGCAGAAAGAAGCTTTTGTGTCTTTTATGTGTTTTTACGTTTTGTTTCTTCTCTTCTCCTTTATTTTCTTCGCAAAAACACAAAAAAGCGATTCATCTTATTCCTTTGTTTTCTCATTTCATTTTCTTCGCAAAACCCCCTATAAAGCGATTTCGTCTGGCTTCTTCTTCTTTTGTGTTTGTGATTGCGTATTGTTTCATGAATACTGCTTTCATCATTTTGTTTTCTTCGCAAAAACCACCCCTAAAGCGATTTCGTGTGGCTTCTTGTTCTTTTGTGTTATGGTGTTTGGTTTGGGTTTGTGGTTTTTTCATCTTAGTTTTGTTTCGTGTGGCTTCTTCTTCTTCTGTTGTGTTTGTGATTGCGTTTTGTTTCATTAATTCTGCTTTTCTCATTATTTTCTTCGCAAAACCAACCGTAAAACGATTTCGTGTGTCTTTTTCTTTTGTGTGTGATTGCGTTTTGTTTCATTAATTCTTCTCTTCTTATTATTTTCTACGCAAAAACACCCATAAAGCGATTTCGTGCGGTTTTTTTTGCGTTTTGTTTCATTAATTCTGCTTTTCTCATTCTATTTTCTTCGCAAAAGCAACCCAAAACAGATTTCGTGTGTTTTTTTTTGTGTGTGATTGCGTTTTGTTTCGTTAATTCTTCTCTTCTCATTCTATTTTCTTCGCAAAAACCACCATAAAACGATTTCGTGCGGCTTCTTCTTCTTTTATGTGTGGTGTTCGAAGCGATTTCGTGTGACATTTCTTTGTATTATCGCGCGTTTACCCCTACAATGGCGTGGTAAGTTTGCAGTCCAAAAGCGGGGGGGTTGGGGGGGCGCAGCCCCCCCCCAATTAGCGAAAGAAAAGTTTGAAGAAGGCTGTTTGAAGGCTTTTGGAGGGCTTCAGGAAAAGTTTCGGGGCTTAAGGGACGGACGAACGAGGAACTTCAGAGGAAGGCTTAAAGAGAGCTTTAAGGGAGTGCTTAAAGGAAAGGTCAAAGAGGAGGCCTTGAAGGAGGGCTTTCATGGGGCAAAGGGGCGGGCTTCAGGGGGGCTTCAAGTGGGGGCTTAAAGGGGGGCTGGGAGGGAGGCTTACAGGGGGCTTAAGGGGGGCCTGAAGGCTTCGGCCCTTTGCCCCCCCTCTTAAGGGAGACCCCTTTCAAGGGGGCTAAACGGGGCCTCAAAGGGGTCCCGCAACCAAACACCACGACTTGAGAAAAGCTGCCATCCAGACGAAGTGGAACAATTCTGCAGACGGCTAAGCGTATTTCGCAGCAAACCTGCCGGTTGGATCTGCTTCAGACCTGAGAATTGTCCTAAATAAAAAATGTTCGAATGCAACCCGCTGGATTTTTCTTGCGAGCGTGGTGCCGTTACGATTGCTATTTCATGCAAAGTGGCAGCTTGGACCAGACTTGGGCCAGCTGAAGGTCTGGAGCATCTGGTTCCCATTTTCAGATTCGCCAGTGTCATTTGCAAGCCAACAGGACATGCCAGTTCGTCAGACATGACAAAAAACAGAAAAGTACAGGCTATTGCACTCCAGTCAATCTACGAAACATCAATTGCGGGATGATATGTGCTGGCCAGCTGTGCAAAATGTGCTCAATGTTGTCGAAACATTTTTTTGTGCTGAACTCCGTGTTTTTGTGGTTCTTGACCGTGGCGTGGCGAGCAGCATTGTGCAAGTTGTGAAAGCTTGGTTTGGACCATGGTTGCATCCATTGCTTGCAGCTTGTCTGCTGTTTTGGAAGTTCCCGCTGGAGCTGCCGGTGTTGCTCTTCAGAACGTGCATGGTAGGTCGGCAGTGTTGTGTTCAATGTTGGCCACAATGTTGTTTCCGCTTTGGTTCGAATTTAAACGCGTGCGGGAAGACAGACCGATTGCTTCTTTCGTTGCGGGATCGCCAACAACGAAAAATTTTGCGGCATGTTTGCTGCGAAGTAAGCCGTGTTTTGGTGCTTGTTGCAAACCGCGTCAAGCCGTGCCTTGGCAGAAGCAATCGCGCGCAGTTGCTACAGGTCTGTGTGAGAAACGAGGTCCGAGACTTCTTTTTGTCCGAATGCTTGGCATGTCCTTCACGGATTTGTTCGCTGAAATGAAGACCTTGGCCAGAGAAGTCCCAGACTTGACGTAGCTTGCTCCAACGAGGGACCTGACAAGCCCTGTGGACTTTGGACACTTCGGGTTGGACCTTGAGTGTGCTCACCGACAACTTTGCGTTTCCGTGTTTTTTAAGGGATCTCTTCCCACTGTCACCCTTGTGCAGCTTCTTCCGGACCTCGCATGAACAGCATGAAAGTGATGTCCAATCGTGTAATGCATGATCACTTCCTCACATCTATTAATTGCACCGTCAGTGCCGTCAGTGGTTGTTTCGTTTGCTATCCTGCGCCACTGTGCGTATGAAACGAGAGAAAGAAATAATTGAAGGTTCTTGTCTTCATCATGCTGTCTTCTCACATTTTTGATTCCCATCTGGAAGTTATTTGGATGGCAAGCATCAAGTTTTTTTCGACATCAACAACAGAACCCGCGAAGGCTATGTGCGCGTGTGTGTGTGCGCGTGTGTGTGTGTGTGTGTGTGTGTGTGTGTGTGTGTGTGCATGTGCATGTGCGTGTCATGGGCAATTTGCAAGCAAACATATGTGAGCATGCAGACGATCCATGCTACAACATTTTTATCGGCATGTTTCTTCAACAAGCTAGCAACGTTATGCGGGGCAGCAGCGGCAGCAGTGGACCTTGATTGCAGTCGTGTGCTAAATTTGGGATGTTGTCGCAATGCCGCCTCGAAAGCGGCCGAGTGTTGCAGCCCCCATCACTCCAGGAGCAAGTGTTGGACAGACAGTGCAGCGCTTCTAAGCTCGTGAAACTTGCTAGCTGCTATCCGGCACAAGACAGGCCGAAGCAGCAAGTCACGACCCACTGCGGCGCACGCTTTAGAGGCCGTGTACGTTGTAATTTCAAGTTGCAAACTCGATGCATTGTGCTTATCTTCAGAGGAAGTCACTCTTTGACTTGCCGGGAGTTTTGGTCGAGAGGCCGACGACGAGTCGATGGCGTCATCGCCGAGATCTGGCCGACAGTCAGGTGCGTCAGATGTCGTGGTGTACGTCGTAAGTGTGCAAGCCATGAAGTGTTCGAGTATGATGCGAAGGACATCCAGCAGCGGGGCTTGTGTCTCAGCTTCCTGACGACCGAAATGTCATTCTTCACACTCCTCGTGCCAGTGGCATCGGCAGCCGAAGCTCTTGTGGTTGAGGCGATACACAGTTGCGGCGCACGAAGCAGATGCTGAGCTCCAAGATGATGGCAGCTCCATAGGACTGAAGGTAAGGTCTTCGCAAACACTAAACAAGATGCCGGCGCGAGCAGGAGAGGGCGCTCGAGCTGCGATTCTCTTCCATGAGCCTTTCTTTGATGCAGCCATGGTGCAACTGGAAGCTGGCGGATCTGCTTCTTGCTGGGATTAGAAAATACTTCATTGACTGGCACTCCTTTCGAGCATGTTGGTGCCGTGCATTGAAGGAAATGGCGGAACGGAATGACACAGGCTTCTGACTCGCAGAGACCCAGGGGTTAGTTCTTGGGCTCGCTGCTTGCATCTGCCTGCATTGCTTGTGTTCTCCGAGCCCTGGCAGATCTGGAGATGCTGTACTTCGTCACAGAAGCCGAGGACGGCCAGGCGAAGACCGGCAGCGCAATGGTGGTGGATGGATGGTGCTGGTAGGTGGTTGAAATTTGGATGGTGCTGGTAGTAGGGTGTGCTTTACAGGATTTCGGCACTTTCTGGCACCGCTGCTTTGTCCACATTCGCTCACCTATTCGATGCAGGTCGAGTTTCGACTTCCTGAAACGGGCTTCAACCAGAAGTTATCTCGAGGTGGAGAGGTGCGCCTGCGGGTATCGCGTCAAAAGTAGGCTGAGGGCCTGTCACCGCCGCGTAAAGCAGGGCATGTATCACATGGGTGCGAAGCATGCTCATGCTGCGCCTCTTGCTTGCCAGAGGTCCTCGTCCCAGCGGGCGCAGCCTTCACCTTGAGGACGGATGTTGACATCCAGCATGTTTGATTTCCGTTTCGTGTTGTGGCCATCATGTCTGCTTGCGCGAAATCCAGGAACATGAGCCCAGCCATTCCCGCAAAGCTGCTAGCAGTCGTTCCACGGTAGCTACTGCCCTGAAAGTGAACAAGCCAATGCATTGTCGTTTCACCAGAGACCATGGAAGTGCAGCTGTTGGCAGTAGCACCTAAGCAGATCGAGCAACAGCGCATCTTATTCGAAAGTGTAGCTGCAGGTCGTATCTTATGCAGCAGTCACCCACAAGTACTTTTCCGCAGCATCCTGGGTGCTTCCCTGGAGTTTACCATAAGTTGTGCGTTTCTGAACGCTCACAGCACCAGGTAGGAGGATGCAGGGTACGGCAGCTGTGGGTCAAGGCTTCAGAATTGCAGTCAGCTTGCCGTGAATGTGTAACCATGCATCAAGGAGACAGCCAACCGGCATTTACGCATGCTTTTAATATATAGCAGGGGGAGAGCCTTGAAGCCTGCGGCTGGCGTAATTAAGTCAGCTTGACTCTGCATGCATGCAAAAAGAATACTGCCCGCGGTGTCTCGAAGTCTCTCTCACGGCCGTACCGGTCACCTGTGCACCAGATGTGATGCTGGCACTGCAAACGAAGCAAAAGACACGTCGAGTCACAACGATGACACAAGTTTGCTGGGAGAAGGAATCATTCCACTCACACCCTCAGTGGCCTACGATCGCCCTTGCAAAGCCAGAACCTTCATGTTGGTCTCTGGATGTCATCTCAAGCACGCCGCGCAGAGATGCCAGCGCCCCAGCCAATCGTAGTCAGAGCTGGGCACCTTCTCCTATCCGATACTTGAAACAGTTTCTTGGAGGCGTCTCGGTCCACGAGGCAGCCCAGAAAGCTTCCAGGATTCTCGGCGTCTCCGTACGCCAAGTCTTAGAGGGCTTCTTCCGACTTTCTTGTTTCGCGCCCGAAGAACTGTTGCAGGACCGGGCAGGCAGTATCCTCCCGCATTTCCTCGCAAACCTCCAGAGTGGGTGCATTGTCTGAGTTTCTCCTGGCAGACGGGAACTTCCATCAGACTTCAATCTGGCCAGGCCAGATGGCGGTGTGGCTGGCGCTGGCCAAAAGCGCGACCTGTGACTGTCGAGAGCAAACGTAAATCTGCAACGTGTACTTTGGAGGACCGCGACCGAGATATGTAGCCTGCTCGGACGGAGGCTGCGCCAGTGAATTGCACTTCTGTGCATCCTTGCAGCTTTCTGCAGCATGCGTTTTCACATGATTTGTGATAGATCACCATGCAGTTTTCCTCAGCGTGCGATTGCCTGTAGTGTTGGCGGACCCTCTTCCCAAATGGCACCTGGATCTTCGACCGGTCGCATGGCCATCGCGGCCCTTGCGGGCCTTGGCCTTTGGGCAGCTGGCACTGCATTCGTCCCTTCTGCTGGGGTCAAGGGACTGCGAGGAGCGGAGGGATCCTCACATGCTGGCTATGCGCCGTTCCCCAGCAAGCAAGAGATGGGACAGACGGATGCGCCAAGCAGCCTGACTTCCGGCATGCAGGCTGTCCTCCTGGCTGCGGTGTTTGGCTTCGTGGTTGGACTCGCCCCGGTCCGTGCCGAAGAAGCCGATGTGAGCCTGGATGAGATCGCCGCGGCGAGCAAGAATGCGAACATCAATGTTCAACGCCGCAAGAAGCGAGTGACCACAATCAAGAAGGAGGCCAAGGGCACGACCACGACCGATTCCGGCAAGCCGAAGCGTGTCATCATTTCCCCTGCAGACGAGCTGGATGAGGATGAGCTGTCTCCGCTGCGGCCAAACCCTCCTCTGCTGATCCTGATCTTTGCGACGCCTGTGACCATCTACCTGACCTTCTACATTCTGGGATCCCTAAACATCATCTGAGCAGTTGGCGCGCGACTTTTCGCAAAGCTAGCGGCAAAGCATCGGAAAAAAAAAGTCGTTTCTCCTGCATTTTGCCTGTTTATTCTGCTGTCATGGAATATCCCTGGGCCTCTGTTCCGTCCTTGTGTGGGCGGCTTCTGCTGGAGCTTGCATTCGGCTTGTTGCCTCTGCAACTCATGTTCTGACGTCAGTACTTTGTGCAGCACTCAGGTCAGGTTGAACAGGGGAATTCTCGCATTACACCCTTCCGAATCGCTTCTATCAATGGCACGTGGATCTCGAGGCGCGGCCATCGCGGCCCTTGCGGGCCTTGGCCTTTGGGCAGCTGGCACTGCATTCGTCCCTTCTGCTGGGGTCAAGGGACTGCGAGGAGCGGAGGGATCCTCACATGCTGGCTATGCGCCGTTCCCCAGCAAGCAAGAGATGGGACAGACGGATGCGCCAAGCAGCCTGACTTCCGGCATGCAGGCTGTCCTCCTGGCTGCGGTGTTTGGCTTCGTGGTTGGACTCGCCCCGGTCCGTGCCGAAGAAGCCGATGTGAGCCTGGATGAGATCGCCGCGGCGAGCAAGAATGCGAACATCAATGTTCAACGCCGCAAGAAGCGAGTGACCACAATCAAGAAGGAGGCCAAGGGCACGACGACAACCGATTCCGGCAAGCCGAAGCGTGTCATCATTTCCCCTGCAGACGAGCTGGATGAGGATGAGCTGTCTCCGCTGCGGCCAAACCCTCCTCTGCTGATCCTGATCTTTGCGACGCCTGTGACCATTTACCTGACCTTCTACATTCTGGGATCCCTCAACATCATCTGAGCCAGGACGTGGCCACAGAGCAATGCTAAATTTGCCATCTGTATGATCTAAGGAGGCACGCCAGGTATGGCCGACTCACGAAACAAAGTTTTCCCAGAAGAAGCATTAGAGTGCTGCCTGTCGAAAACAGTGATTCGCAATCTTGCCGTGCGTGCAGTAGTCGTGTATAGCCTTGGTAGATGCTAGCAAGCAGTTTGTGCGAGTTGATGACAGCTGGCAAACTGGTTTTCTGCTGATCGTGGCGTGTTTTCCTCAGTGTCTGGACGAAAGGTAGATAGCCAGCTGCCAGTACTGCTGAGCCTCCCTCCCAAATGGCACCTGCATCTTCTTCGACCGGTCGCATGGCCATCGCGGCCCTTGCGGGCCTTGGCCTTTGGGCAGCTGGCACTGCATTCGTCCCTTCTGCTGGGGTCAAGGGACTGCGAGGAGCGGAGGGATCCTCACATGCTGGCTATGCGCCGTTCCCCAGCAAGCAAGAGATGGGACAGACGGATGCGCCAAGCAGCCTGACTTCCGGCATGCAGGCTGTCCTCCTGGCTGCGGTGTTTGGCTTCGTGGTTGGACTCGCCCCGGTCCGTGCCGAAGAAGCCGATGTGAGCCTGGATGAGATCGCCGCGGCGAGCAAGAATGCGAACATCAATGTTCAACGCCGCAAGAAGCGAGTGACCACCATCAAGAAGGAGGCCAAGGGCACGACGACAACCGATTCCGGCAAGCCGAAGCGTGTCATCATTTCCCCTGCAGACGAGCTGGATGAGGATGAGCTGTCTCCGCTGCGGCCAAACCCTCCTCTGCTGATCCTGATCTTTGCGACGCCTGTGACCATCTACCTGACCTTCTACATTCTGGGATCCCTCAACATCATCTGAGCCCCAGCTCGAGTTTGTGACTTTGCTTGCAACGGTTTTCCTTGCACCAGCGGTTCCTAGATGCTGGAAACACTTGATGTAGAAGAGTTGGTTTAAAGTTGGCATCGGGTTTGAGCGGGAAGAGAAGGAGGCAGGTGTCTGACAAGATGCTAGACCGTCTGTCTTCAGTATGGCTCTTGAGGCCTCTGAGATTTAGGACGTGGCTCGGAGCAATATCTAGCCTGCTGCCGATATGATCTGGGGAGGTATGCCAGGCATGGCCGACTCACGAAACAAGGTTTTCCCAAAAGAAGCATGAGAGTGCTGCCTATGGAAAACGGTGATTTTGAATCTTGTCGTGCGTGCAGTAGTCGTGTATAGCCGTGTAATAGGGTGGGCAAATGAAGCAGTTGTGTTAGATGCTAGCAAACCGGTTTTCTGCTGATCGTGGCGTGTTTTCCTCAGTGTCTGGACGAAAGGTAGATAGCCAGCTGCCAGTACTGCCGAGCCTCCCTCCCAAATGGCACCTGCATCTTCTTCGAGCGGTCGCATGGCCATCGCGGCCCTTGCGGGCCTTGGCCTTTGGGCAGCTGGCACTGCATTCGTCCCTTCTGCTGGGGTCAAGGGACTGCGAGGAGCGGAGGGATCCTCACATGCTGGCTATGCGCCGTTCCCCAGCAAGCAAGAGATGGGACAGACGGATGCGCCAAGCAGCCTGACTTCCGGCATGCAGGCTGTCCTCCTGGCTGCGGTGTTTGGCTTCGTGGTTGGACTCGCCCCGGTCCGTGCCGAAGAAGCCGATGTGAGCCTGGATGAGATCGCCGCGGCGAGCAAGAATGCGAACATCAATGTTCAACGCCGCAAGAAGCGAGTGACCACAATCAAGAAGGAGGCCAAGGGCACGACGACAACCGATTCCGGCAAGCCGAAGCGTGTCATCATTTCCCCTGCAGACGAGCTGGATGAGGATGAGCTGTCTCCGCTGCGGCCAAACCCTCCTCTGCTGATCCTGATCTTTGCGACGCCTGTGACCATCTACCTGACCTTCTACATTCTGGGATCCCTCAACATCATCTGAGCTGGGACTTGCTAGCTTATTTTTGCCACCTGGTTTCGACGGTTTTCCTTGCACCATGCGGTTCCTTTATGCTGAAAATCCTCCATGTGTGGCTGTGGTCAGTTTGGAAATCAGTACTTTCAAATCGCCGCCATCTGAATGGCCTTGCACGTCAGGTTTGCCAGAGAAGAGAAGGAGGCACGTGTCTGACAAGCTGCCAGACTCGTCTGTCTGAAGCCTGGCTCTTGAGGCTTCCGAAATATGCTGTGAGAGTTCTGATGGGCTTTGTCCTCGGCGAGATCATGGGGCCTGCGACGTTTGCAGGTCCATGGTGGATTGGCAGAGTCGTTCTCTCGGTTATCGTCAGTTTTTGTCCGGTTTGTCTCGATGCAGGCGGCTGGGCCTTCTTGATGGCATATACCGGCGTCACTCGGCTGCTTCCTGCTCTCGCTGGAAGGAGTTTACACTCAGGTTTGTACTGCATCCCAGGTCGTTTATCTCATCTCGATTGAGTGCCGCAGCAGATTCTGAGCAGTAGGGACGCTTGCCCAAGGCAGCCACTTCGTGTGTTGTTCGGCACAGGTACTCTCGACTGATTGCAGGTGTGCTGGAGCCCCCGCCTAGAAGGCGGGACGGGAGAGTGAATGTGGTCCGGCAATGCTTGTAATTGATGTGCTACTTGGTAGGGCCCAGCGCTGGGCTCTTTTCCTTGTGAGTGCCTCCATCCTCCTCGCTGCCCACTGCAGAGCCGTCACCTCAAGATCTTCGCGCACGCTCAAATGTGTGTTTGAGATCAAGCAATAGACCAAGGTGCTTACCGGCATCTTTGAATGTGCCGCGGCACAGACGCCCAGAAGCGCAATTAGAGGGAGGATGGCCGTACAACACCTTGAGAGGAGTTGATTGCGTAAGGTCACTCTACTGGTTCTTCTCTTGCTGCTCCAAGGTTGGATGGGGTTGAAATCAACCATGCTTGCTGTAGTGCCAGAACTGCCAGATTTGGATTCTGAGCTGGACAGAGGAAACATTACGATGCCAGATGGTTCATCACCAATTTCGCCCCGACCTGAGCTTCAAGAAGTGACAGCCGATAGGGAATCTGTTGGCTGGCACTCCTTTTCAATTTGTCTGTAAGGTTTTCTCACATCGCTTCTCAAGTTTTCGGCGTGTTTTACGTCGGCTACTTGCCATCCTTCTGGGTACTTCCGGCATGTCCAAAGGAAGGCTGACGTGCGCAAGTCAGCAGCATAAGCAGCCCATATTGCAGGTGTGAAGAGACTTGCCGCACAGAAGCTTTGCAAGCTTCCTGTATTCAGACAGCTAGTGATATTGCAAGACCTCTTTGGTCTTTCCAAAGATTTGCTGCTCAAGCTTGGTCGAGTGTGGTACTCTAACCTATCGGTGACGTCGTCAGATGCTCACTTCGCTCTGCAGTGGTAATCATTGATGAGTTCGATTCCTCGAAGCCGGAAGGAAGCCATCAGGAGATACGAGAAAACCAGGGGGCGACGGTCGAGCCAAAGGAAGTTGCGATGTGTTTGAGGTCAATGCAGAACGTTTGGGTGTGACCGCGCGGTGCTGGAGTGGAGAGTTTGTGTTTGCGGCATCTTGTTCTTACCCTGCCGTCTTGTGCGCCCACATGGGGTCGCATCGTGTACAGAACTAAGAAGGTCAAGTCGACGTCTATAACCCTCCCTCAGCTCTGGCAAGGGGCTGCCCTTTTTCCACTGGACTGCCAGGTTCGATTACGCGCCATCGGTCCTGCTCTACCCAGTGGTGCACCAACAGGTCCAGCGCTGGCTGGTCATGTGTTGAGGATAAATAGGGTCACATGCCGGAACCAGGATCTGCTCGCAGTCTTACCTCGCGGCTGTTGTCGAACACATAAAACTCAAGTGAAAGAGACTGAAACAAAAAGCATCACGAGTCGAACTGGTTGACTGCTGCTCCCGCAGCTTCTGGCCCTCTTCCACACAGCAAAGCTGTGCGAAGTCTTTTAGTAGGCCTCTGTCCGCTGCCGCTTAGCCTGCACCCGGATTCATGCCAACTGGGTGTGTACTGCATAATTTCTCCTGGCCGGCCAACAGCCGCAAACACAACGTTAATCGTGAACTGAGGTGATGAATCCAAGAATCCGAGCAAGCCTTGTAGCAGTCTTGTCAGCACTGGGTGCCCTTCTCTTCGGACTCGACATAGGCTGGTCGTCGCAGTACGGTTGGCCAAATCTTGCCGCATCAGGGTGTTCCTCGTCCCTGTGAGGATACATCGCCCCAATCTTGGAGTGTGCATCCTTCAAACGAGATGTGGCCCACATGGCTGACTGGCAAAATCCTCGGTCCAAGATCGATGACTACACTTCAGGTCGTGCTGTCAGCATGCAGGGATCTGGGACATTCTGGGACATTGGGAACAGGGACTTGGTTCGCATATAGTGTCGTATAGAGGGAAAAGCCTGCAACGCACAGGATTCATTGTCGGCGTCTTCTCTCTCGGCTGTGTTGTTTCTTCACTTCCGCTGCTGAGCTCTTACTGCTTGGACGTTTGGGGGCGAAGAAACTCCATCATCCTTGGGTCTGCCATTTTCCTTCTTGGCAGCTCCATGCAAGTACTCTCCGACTCGATCCTCATGATGCTGTGGGGCCGCTTCGTTTCAGGACTCTCAATTGGGCTCCTGAGCACAGTGGTCTCTTTGTATCAAAGCGAACTGGCGCCGTCGAATTTGCGAGGGTGCTTGACCTCCATATACCAGTTGATGATAACAGCGGGGATTCTCCTTGCTGCCCTCATCGACCACTGGCTCGTTCACAGAGAGCCGAATGGCTGGCGCTGGGCGATTTCAATCCAGATGGTGCCAGCAGTTGCTTTGCTCCTCCTGATGCCCTTCATGCCCAGATCCCCACGGTGGCTCGTGCAGCAGGGTCGCAGTGATGAGGCGCTGGAGGCTTTGAAACTTGTGCGGGATGAACCGGAGGCCGAATCCGAACTGGCAGAGATCCAACTCAGCCACGAGGAGGCCAAGGTGGGCCTGGCCATTGACAGGGCCATGTGTAGGTCATAGCAATCGATATCACTGCGGTGTTAGGGTCAGCAAATTTCTGCCTGCTATGGCCCCGTGCCAAGGCCTTCGGAGATCTTCATTGGCGGGAATTGCTGCGTGGACGCGCTGGGCAGCTACTTCTCCTTGGTATCACTCTGCAGATTCTCCAACAAATGTCTGGAATGAATGCATTCATGTATTTTGGTCCTCGGATATTCCTGGACATCGGTTTCAGCCCAACTTTGTTCCAAACATGCACGAGTTTGGTGAACTTCTTGGCTACTTTTCCGGCCCTGTTGCTCGCGGACGTTTGCGGGCGTCGCAGCCTTCTGTGGTGGAGCGCGCTGGGCATGCTGGTGGCGTCCACTAGCATCGCTGCTTTCGGCCATGCAGCCACAGCTGGTCCCGAGAACGAGACACATGTTGGTGTAGGCAAGTATGGTAGCTATGTGGTGGTCAGCATGGTCTTTTTCTTCGTTGCCAACTTCGCTTACGGCTGGGGTCCCATTGTGTGGGTGTACAGCTCCGAGATGTTTCCCCTGCGCTACCGCAGTCAATGCATGGCATCTGGAGTTTGCGCATCTTGGATTGCCAACTATGCAATCGCTCAAGGCACACCTGTGTTGCTGGGAAAGCTGGGGTTCTTCACGTTCTACTTCTTTGCAATCTTTGCTCTGGCTGCACTGCTTCTTGCCCAGTGGCTTCCTGAGACCAAAGGGGTCATGTTGGAACATGTGCAGAGGCTCTTTGATGAGAAGTTGGGAAGCCGCACTAGCCGCAGCGATTCAAGCTTGCGAAGCAAGTATGGTTCAACTTTGCTAGAGAAGGATGGGCCTTTGGCAGGTTCGTAGATGTCTGTCGTGGAAAAGGATCCGCACGGGACTTTCTCGTTTGCATTGCTGCACCTCGTGTTACCAGGGCTTTCAACATGCTGCCCAAGACACCCCACAAATGTGGCGAAAGCTTGCTAGGGCACATCCTGGAAGAGCTACATCAGCATGAGCCGGCCTCGCTGCACAGCCTTTGTCCTCTGGTTTTGGTTAGTTCTCTTTGAGTTTGAGGGCACACTGTGCTTCATGCTGCCGACTGGTGGAGTTGAGCACGTGCGGGATTTGCTCACACTTGCTCTGCTCCTTCCTGGGTCTCAGACTTAAGCCTTGTTCCCATAAGCTTATGGTGAGCCTTACACTTGCAGCTGGCTCATTCTCACATTTGGCTTCAGTCAGCCCTGGATTGCTAATGCTACAGCGACTTTTTGTCACATTGTCAGAGCATCTGGCAGCAAGTAGAATAACAGCAGACAAGCATGGCACATCTGCCGTCGTCAGTACATGCACAAAGTGAAAGCCCAGTTCTTTACTGCCATGCACTGCATACTGCTTGCTAGCTGCCTAGTAGCTTTGTTGCGTTCCCGGAAGCTCGCTCATGGCTGTCTGGTGGGAGCCCACGCAGGATGAGTTTGCTGAGAGGAACGGTGAATCGCCCTTCGTGGCACCCGATTTCCTGGAAACGAGCAACTTCCAGCATCTTTACAAGGCGCGTGGCCACAGAGTCTCTTGCAAGTAATACTTGTAGCAGGGTTTCTGTCTTGACTTGATCCTGAATGTGGTCACCATAATGGGATGGAGCAGCAAGCCATGGAAAACAAGCGATAGCCAACCTTCATAGCCACTTCGAGCCCCTGTGCACGAATCCACAAAAGGATGCTGTCGAAGATGGCAACGTTCTAAAGCATTAAGATCATGAAGCTTCAGGTCTTGTCTTTCCGAAGATGTCTGCAGTTGTTACCGTCTCTTGAGTTCTTGCGCCCTGAGGGCACCGGCGAGCCGCGACCCGTCGATGCCAAAGAGCTGGCGGCCTCATTTACGTGCGCGGTGAACGCTTTCGTGCAGCACTACTGGACCTGTCACAAGGATTATGAAGTCACGATGGACAGGCAAGTCGAGGGATCTGGTCATCTAGCACTGGAGGACGCAAGTACACCAGAAAGCCCAACAGGAGGATGTTTGTCCCCCTATGTTTCAGGCTATGCATAGCACTTGCGCACTTCACATTATTCGCATGTCAGGAGATGATGCCGCAATGGCATGATGATCTGGTGGATCACTTCAGCGTTGGTGTGGATCCTGAGGCCGGGCCCAAACACATGGCACATTGCATGCATTGTGGCAGTCTGGCTTCGCCGTCAGGCAACGATTAGAATGTACACGAGTGGGACTATGGTTGCTGTCCGGAGAGTCTTTCGAAACTGTGCTCTGGAAGCGGATGGCGTCTCGGTGTATCCATCTGATGTGTCCCTGCCAGACGGATTCAAGCTGGGACAGGTTGGACGGCCTACCTCCATTACATCCACAGATGAGGAAGGCAATTCCACGCAGGTCCTTTTCCGGCCATTCCAATTCCCGGAGGATATTCCAGGATTGGATTATCATGACTTCATCAACACCAACTTCTCTGAGTGGACTGGCAAGCGGCCAGTCCATTTTTTCGAGCGTAAACCCTTCCACAGAGCTTTGAACTGCGCAATCTGCCAAGATGCTCCGAACGTGTTGAAAGCGGTAATGCAAATCATTATGGACATGAACTACTTCATCAACTCTGTTCATCACGAGGGTGGCGTGTTCTACAGTGGTGTGGGTATCGGAGAGTCCATCCGTCTGGTGAAAGAAGGCGCAAAGCTGCGCATGCCCCGATTTCTCTCCACTACAACCGAGCTCAAGTTCGCGAAGTCGCGCTTGACTGACAAAATTGGTCCAGCCTTGCTGGTTGTGCGAGTTCCTCAGGGCTTCTGGGGTGCACGTGACATTTCGGCCTTTTCTTCTTGCCCAGAGGAAAGTGAGACAATGTTTTGTGCTTACGCTTTGTTTGTTGTGGAGCGCGTCTCTTCCATGCGGATGCAAGGCCAGCAGGTGACCCGTATTGATCTCAAAGCTTTGGACAAGTACGAGGGAATCTCTTATGATGATGATGTCTACCCCCCGTTTCATCATGCTCATATCGATCTAGCCGACCTCGATGGGCACGGAAGCTACGTGCGGCAGAATTCATAGGTTCACAGACTGAGGTGGGAGCCGGTGAGGTGGCACAGTCTGCTCTTGCCGCTTCCTCTCACGGAGCCTTGAGCACGTCCAAAGTGCGAAAAGGATCTATGCCAGACGTTTTCGCTGCACTGCCCACGCACATCTGGGCGTGACCGTAGACTATGTTCACGCAGTCCCCTGTAACGGACAGGCTTTCTGACTGACTTTGTCCGCCTGATCCGATGGCCCCTTGAGCGCAGTGTTGGTTGCTGCGCCGCTTGTCAGGCAACATAGCAGTCGCACGCATACAGAGGAGGTTTTCAACATTGGAATACAGGCAGCAGCTTGATTCTGATGCAAGTTTGCTGCGACCTGCCACATGATGCAGTCAACCTGCAGCTAAGGTCACGGTCTCATGTGTGCTGTGTATCATCGCAGCAGATTCCTGTGCCTATTTTGGAGGCTGAGCATATTGCAGTGCAAATTCCCTGCTGCAACTTAGTAGAGACTGGTCGAAGACTCACTCAGCTTGAGGCAAGCACTTTGGCAAGCGGCCGCTCATCGTGGTCAGTCCAAACAAAACGCAAGAGGCGTGCTGCAGCAAGTCCGGTTGTCACTTGCACCGGCTGATTTGTGTCAGCCGCTTGTGCCGAGGGAGCCTACTGCGGTTTGTTGGGCTCTGTTCTCATGGCACTCCTTTGCGACAAGGCCCTGCAAGGGCACAGCAGGGAGTCAGCTGGAGACAGAGATTGCAGGCGTGGGGTTTCCCGTCCGATCCACTCATCTCCGGGTGCACAGCCCCAGCTGCAAACGAGAAGTTGGAAGCCAGGGGGCACCAGCATCCTTCCTGAGGCTGGTCGGAGCACTCATCTTCTGCGCGAGTCTTCTGGGAGACTTGGTCGTTTCTGTCGCTCGGAAGCATGGCGGGATCCTCGAAATCATCACTGTCATGGCAACTTCCCGAGGCTATGAAACGAGATGCTCAAGTAAAGGACGGCCAATTCGACACACATCTTGTGGATCCCCTTCCTGCAGTTGAGAGGACACAGGATCACTCATTCCAGGGCATGGCGGCATTTTGGACCGCTTTGATTCGTACTTCTTTGCTGCCCCTGTCGCATACTTCTGCTGGTGACCCCGGAAGCATACCTAGGGCCTAGGGCCCAGGGATCAGTCAGAGCGAGAGCTGCTCGACACCTGTCGCGAGGTACGCTTACTTGAAGTATCACAGCAACTTGCCACCTTCTCTGATTCGCTTCAAGTCCTAGTCCTAGCTTCAGCAACGTTCCCTGCCGGTGCCGGCAGACATCGTGTTTCATGTGCTTCAGCTGAGAGCCAAAGTGCTCTGCTGCTTTGCCATGGTTTCGCAGGCGAAGAGGCAAAAAGAGAGCTCGGTCTTCGGGGTGAAGCTGTGTGCTGAACTGGTGAGAGAAGCTGAGAGTTCGCATGCAAAGACAATTTCAGGGCCCAGAGAGGCTGCATGATACGCCAAACAGGGAACTGACATCGTCATGCAGCAGTGGGTATAGCACAGCAACAGGGCTGGCAAATATGATGTTAGAGCTTTAGAACACCCGACAAGCTTGCTCAGCTCCGAGCTTGTGGCTTTACCATCGTGGCCCCATGAGGTGCTCCTAATTTTTTTCGGCCTGTTTCCGAAAGCACAGTAAGGTGTTGAACTGCACGTTGCAAAAGGCTTCAATTCCGAAGTGCGGTGGATGAACGAGGGCACCTTCGAAGCGAAGTGGAGGCTGGAATCAGGACTTAATGACTTGTGGGAAGTTCTTGTGGTGACAGGCCCTGCAGTCGGAACGCGATGCCTTAGCAACACAGGCCGATCCGCCGAGCCCTGCCAATCCAAAGGGAATGCGGGTTGCTTTCAGGTGGAGCGACTCGAGCTCGAACGTGTGCAATTCGCTTCGGCAGCTCGGCTAGAACGGCAAGGCTTAAGAGCGACAGATGAGAGTGCACAGTCGGTTTGTTTTCTCGATCAGAAGTGCCCTAGGCACAAGACCGGGACAAGCAGGAACGACGAATGGTGGCTGTAACCTTTCATGTTTGACATGTTGGGTCCTCTGCCCGGCATCGATCTCGCAGGAGTTGGAATCGACGGTGCAGTCTTTGGTCCGAGAGATCAAGGCCTTGGACCCGGCTTTGCCTGGAATTGCCCTCCGCGTGCCGCTGGGCCGCGCAGGCTTGCCAGGCGGAAGCATCGGCAGCAAAGGATGAGGTGCCACGTGCACCAGCCCATAGTTCGGGATGCTGAGCTGTCCCTACAAGTCTCAGGATTACTCCCTTCAGAGGGTTTAGGGAACACGAGACATGCCTGGATGAAATTCGATCGACCGCGCGATTGTGACTGGACAGTTGAAATCACAGTGCTTAGTTTGTCTGCGAGGTTCGAGTTCAGCAGCTCACGCGCATGAGACTTTGCTAGAACAGTGTTGCTTGAAGGGTTTGGCCTTCGAGGTGCAGCATTTGAGCAATGCACTTGACGCCGCCCAAGCCTTGTGTGAGCATGCTGAGGACAGGGTCTCAGAAACGTTGGCATCCTTGGCATGTTAAGTTGGAACTCTTCCTTTGTTTCTTGGAGGCCCGAGCCGTGGCGGCAGAGGCGTCGAAGACAGAGGCACGCTTGCGCCGTGCGTCGATCGTTTCATTTCCCCCCATCTTCTGTGATTTCGTTTAGTGTGAATGCGAACCTCACAGGCAGTGTGTGCAGTCTGAAGAGAGATCGGAGTAGCCGAGTAGCCGGCCGCCAGGCATCTGCTCAGCATCGCTTGGCCGAGGGCAACGTGCGCTTCGCTGCAAGGCCCAAGGCCAACATCCTTTGGTTTGGACCGGCGGCCGTCGGAGGTACAGCGCCTCACCACAGAAATCGAGGCAGGTGGCATGCTGTGGCATGCTTATGGCTTACGTGTCGGAGTCGTAGTTGTCCATCCAGAAGTGACTTGCTCAGGCACTGAAAGGGAGCAGCAGCTTGGCCTTACGCAGGGCTGAGAGATGCGATGCAGCGGAGGCGGAAGCGGCACGCCTCCAAGGCGACGTCTGTCGCTTGCGCCAAGAGGAGCAACGATGCCGGCTGTTGGAAGAGCGCTTGGGCCGAGCGCAAGCGTGGGTTCACGACAAGGAAGCGCTTGAGGGGCGTCTGGACCAAGCCCTCCGGAGGGCGGACGCGGCTGAGCAGCAGGCGAAATCCTTCGAAAGCAACGCAAGGTCCTTGGAGCTAAAGCTGCTCGCAGCCGCCACAGAGCTGGAAGAGTCAACTCTCGCTGTGCAAAAGGGGCGCGAGAGGGAGCGATCCCAAGAGGCAGAGCTTAGGAACGTCGAGGCGGCACGGGCCGAAACGGAGAAAAAGCTGGCAGAAACCCTGCAAGAACTTGCAGACCTTGAGGCCGAGAGTGCATCCCTCCGTCGGAAGGCAGATGCACAGCTTTCGGCAGTTAAGACGCAGCTTTCTGAGAGCTCTGCTCGCTGCGATCGGGAAAGTGTGGAGCTCGAGGCTGAGCGAGCGAAGAGGGAGACAATCGCGACGAAGCTCAGCGTCTTGGAGCAGCTCGTGGCGACCACGGACGCTGAGGTCCGCGCGTTGCGGGAGGAGAGCGCCGGCTTGCGCCGGGACCTGGCGAAGGCGAGCGCGGCGCGGGAGGCTTCGGAGCAGCAGATGGCGCCGCTGGCCGAGGAGGCCGCCTTGGCCAAAAGGCTCAGGGAAGAGTCCACTGCGGCCGCCACTGCGGCCGCTGCGGCGGCCAGGGAGGAGGCGACAAATTGCCGCTTGGAAACGGAGGCCACCCGCATGGCGCACTACGAGCAGGAGCCCGCAAAATCCCTTTTTCACTGCCGAGCTCTTCCTTCGAAGCGTTTCACGGTTTCTCGGTTTTCTATGCTATTTGGTTGAGTTGTGGTGGTCTGGCTCGGCTATAGTGGGTAGCAGCAGCTAGCTAGTTTTCGCGTGGCGACGGGCCTGGTCTGCGTACTTGGTACTACTGTAATACCTCGCGCACGAGTGCACAAGTTATCTCTACTTTCAGGAAGAAGCTCAGTTCAGCATGAAACAGTCTATGTCCATATCGACAGAGGGAAAGCAACGGGGCCCGGCCTCGGCCCCGTGAATTTGTTCATTCTCTGGCAGGACCGTGAAGTGCAGAGGCTAAGAGAACGCCTGGCCGTGCAAAGTGAGGAGTTGGAAAAACTGCAGACACTGCTTGCCTGGTGCTCGGAGTGTTGCGGTCCGGAGATGGGCACGCGATATCGCAGAAACTCAAGACCTGAGGCCATGGGCGGTGGTCCCACGCTCGGACTTGGTACCCGGCAGGAGTTATGAGATGTGTCCATGTGTGACTATAAGGTGCAGACGATGTGGCTGCAATGTCCGCCGCGCAGATGTATCTCAGGGGTCCCAGTCCACACTCCCGCATTCGAGATGAGCTGGCCTTCGTGCGCAAAGAGGCCTTAGCTTTCACAATCTGTTTCCTGCGCTTCTTTTGCTTTTCCCGAAAACCCCTGTGGACGGACTTGGATGTGGGTGGTGGAAGGACGGGAGGGGAAGGTTGACAGCCGGGGTTGACGCCGAGGATGGTTGTCTTGCGGCAGGGCGACGAAGGAACGGCCGGCGAGGAGGGTCAGACGGCGCAACGGAAGTGGGGATAGGTCAGACCGCGTGGCGTCGCGGACAGCGGAGGAGGCGTGGGCAAGGGGCGGAGCGCGAGGCTGCGATTGCAGCGGCTGCCGCAACTCGAAGATTGCCGGACGCGACACAACAAGCATCACTTTCTTCCGTTAGGTTTTCGGTTCCCGGCTTGACCTTGCTTGCAGACTCGGAGCGGCTGCCCAGCCTTGCCTCCTGCTGTCGTCGGGCGGCCCAGCAGTAAGGAATCGGTCACCGTGAATTGCTGTCCACACTGAGACCCGACGCCTAGCTTCTCCACGACTTCGCGACGCTCAGCTGGCTTTGCAGGCCCACCTCATCCCACTTTGCCGACTTCTAATCCATGTACAAGAATCTTTGTGTTGGACAGGGACGGTCGAACTCCAGGTCACGCAGGCAAAGCGCAGTTCTGCACCTCCGATGTCCACTGGCCCTTTTTGTTAGAGAGGCCGTCCAGCTTCGCCAGCACTGCTGCACCAGATGATGAGCTTTGAGCAGTGCACGCGGGTTTCCTCGGCCAGAGAACAGCTTTGGCTTGATTCCCTGGCATTGAACTTCCTGACTTGGACACCAGTGATGTTTGACATCTTGCTTCGGCGCAGCATCCTGACTGCTTGGACTCAGACTCAGTGCATCTGTCCAGGTGCGTTGGGCATCACGTCCTTTGTAGGTAACCTGTCTGCAGCAGGAACGTTGCAACTGCATACCGTTTCCACGATTCAGTCGGAGAAGTTTGATCTTGGACGCATAACAAGTGTGTCCTGTATTCATGTCCTGCAAGAGCAGTGTCAAGAAGACACTACAGAGTGTGACAAGAGTCTGCAGCACCTCAGTGACTGCTGGACAAGGGGCGTCATGCTGCGAGGGCATTTACATTTGCAAGGCAGTGCAAGGACGAGTTGTGGTTCTGAGCAGCACGCAAGCACGATGCACAGAAGCAGCTTAACACTTAAAGGAGACACGACTGTGTCCCGCCCCCATGAACCCCTGCTCATGAACTCACTACAGGCTTCAGTCTTTTGGCATCGCAAGGCTACTCTTGTCTCCTACACACGAAACATGTCCTTCGCTTACGTCGAGATGGATCCATCGATGCCCTCGCCGTGGTCTGCCTGCTTCTGTTTTGCTTAGCAGGGTCTGCTGCAGCCTACGTGGTACTGCCACTATCTTCAGAGTCCAGGTCCTTGCCAAAGGTGCCGAGGACCTTGTCCACTCCTGGGTGCCCAGACCGGCGGCTCTGTCGTGACATGCTGCGAAGGGGTGCTTCCGCGAGGTATCCGGGCTACCCTGGGCTTTCACAGGCCGATGCCTCGGCAAGTTTCCGGGGCCAAGTCCATGTGCCATATGCTTGTCCCGTAGATGACGATGGGCTTTCCAGCCCCTGCACTTCCAGGACAGTGGCATGCGAGGTCTGAAGTTCTTGATTCTTGACGCAGTCATTCATCTTGTGATTTCGCGAGAAGTCTCCGATCTCAGAGGAGATATGTCTCCTTTCCACCCGCCGGTGCTGCTGGGCAGGCGGTGCATTTGCACGGACCTCGAGTTTCCGCATTTTTCTCCTGCATGAAGGTCTCTGTCACACGCGATGACGGCCTCGCCCATGATACCACAAATACCTCATGCCCCTTCATCCCCATCCGGGCTCGTCCACTCAACATCACATCTGCTGAATTTGCAGAGCCTGATGCCATCGGCATCTCACTCCCAGACCTCCATGTTCCAACCCGTCCCGGGCTAAGTGCAAGGTTCATCAAGGCATCGCACATCCGCATGTCGTCTGCCCAGGCTAATTTCCAATTCACCTTCAACGCAGAACCCTCCGCCAGCGAAGCCAGGCTCGAAAGACCCTGGCATGCTCGTCTTGTCAGTCAAGGACCGAAGTGCTGACAGGCAGCCAGCCGAGCCCGTGGCTGCACCTCAGGCAGACATCACGGCTTCAAGAATTTGGGACTTCATTCAGCAGTGGTAGGCCGACCTTGGACTGGGCGGGACATCCGTGAGCTCGGCATCTGCAGTGCCGTGCGATTCGCATGCACAAGCGGTGCCGTCGCAGTCATCTGTGCTTGACTCAAAGGACGCATGGAGGCAGCCATGGCCAAAAAGGCTTCAGAACTTCGCTGTTCCAAGGCGCAGCGTAGAGAGGCCCAGCGGCCGGCCTTGGGGGTGTGCCAGGAGACTGGCGGCGCGGCAGCTCGATCGCGAAAGAACGATTCCGGGAGCCCTCCCCCTGTTGCAGGAGCCGATGAACTGCGACACGCAGCTCAAGCAGTGCATCGCCGAATGCAGAAGGGTCCTCGAGGCCGACGAGCGAAAAGAGTGCTCGAGGTAATGGTACTGTAGTGGCGTTTTGGGGCTCTAGGCCTCAGGGATCCTCAGGGCTTCGACCGAAGGCCAAGGCAGCTCAGTGCCGCAGCGCCGGCAAGAAGCCTGGGGACCCAGCGCAGTTTGCGTTGTGAAACAACGTGGTCTGGTGACTGTTTCTTTCAGTCCAGGTACTTTGATCCGGACTTTCCTTCCGACTCAAGATCCCTGTGGTTGAACGGTCTCGCATCCCAGTTCCAAGACCGACCAAGCCTGCGATCGTGTTTACTTTCTTCCCGATATCACAATCAGTTCTCTCGCCGCAAGTCTTCGCGTTTGGCTCAGAGTGATGGTGCATGGAAAGCTCACACCACTGTCCATTTTGCCTCAACAGCCGGCATCATATCTGCACACAGAACACCAAACCTCACCGGCAGAGCCAGCAGCACCCTGAGCTGCAAAAGCCTAGGCCTGGGACCCCACCTGACAGCAGCTTCAGCAACTTACAGCCCACCAAGTCTTCAAGTCCAAGTTACACAGTTTCAACCGGGGTTGCTTCCCGCCTCTCCGAAGGCTGATTGGACCAGAGTCGCTTTGTGCCGCTGCTTTTGACATTGCAAGACGCGTCTCGAAAACTCAGGCGATGACGGAAGGGCGGAAACTGTTCGTGGCGAAGCTGCCGTCGGACGGCGATTCAAGCGCTTCTACGTCAATCGCCATGCTGCCACGACAGAAAAGTCTGTACGACTTTCTGGTGCATGGTTGCAGGACATTCGTGAAGATGAGATGGAACAGGCTTCGCGACACTGCGAATCTTCGACAGTGCGAGCCTAGTGTGTTGACTTTCTGCAGGTCTTCAGCACCTACGGGCCTGTCGAGGAGGCAGCCCGAAGAAAAGCTTCATGCGACGTGATGCACCCAACTCGCTCAGGCAATCTTGATGGACCAGTCTCGCTCCAACAGACCTGACGAGGTAGCTGGAGCTAACAAGAAAGAGAGGGAGAGAGAGAGTTTCACCTAAGCGGGGGGACCGGCGGACCCCAAGAGCCGGCCACTTAATAACACCAGAAGTGGTCGGGCGGGCCAAGTGCCTGCGGGTCACATGCGTGATCTCTAAGCCCTGCAAATAGAAAGAAAGTTTCCGCTAAGCCCAGCAGAAAGAGTCTTGCGTAGTCGATAGTGGTTGCAGTATAAGCTGACTTTTGGCACGGCCCTTGGAGTCCCGCAACAGGCGCAGCAACAGCAGTGCGAGCTCTCTTCGTTTTAACGAAGAGAGGAGCGGTTACTTTACTTCCTTCAATTTCAAGACGGGGTTGAGTCTTGGCCGCCGTCAAGGGAAAGACCTTACCGTTTCGGGGAGGCACATGGCCCATGTGCTTGTCAACTATGACTGCCGACTTGTATGCCTGTAATTTGTAAGAAGCACTCACAACGAAATGCACACCTTTTCACCAGCCAGTCAGGCGAAAGCACCACAAGCATTTTGAGGGTGACCGTGCTGTAGCTGCTCCTGTTCTTTCTCCGGGATCAAGTTATTCGAAAAAGTGTGCCTTCATGATGTGATCCCGAACACTGCGTCGGTTCTGAAGACTCGAGCCAAACACCAGGTGCTACTCCTCCATGCCTTATTGACAAGAACGGGAAGGGGGAATTCAGAGGGCTTCACAATTTGTCGGCTTCGCATGCCTGAGCCATCCGCCCCCGTGTTAGCGAGTGCTAGTCGTACTTCCCTGCCTTCAAGACTCTGTACCCGCAAGCCTCGGATTTGGTGGGTTCAGAGGAATAAGAACCGAGCTTAAGGAACTTATTAAGCTGAACACAAGGAGAAAGATGTGATGCAGCATTCGATCTAGCTTAGATATTGATAGTGACTGATAGTGCCTCTGCGCCCCAGATAAAGTGACGACGACACCGTATTGCATAACTTGCTGCTCGAGACACCGAGACAGGGATAGAGAGAGTCGAAGGGAGCAAGGGAGCAGTGTTTGCGACGGCTCCTTTGAACCTGCACAGCGCTGTGGCTTCGTCATCTACAAGACGGCGGATGCGGCGCAGACGGCCATCCAGGCGAGGTGACGCCTAACGAGCTCGCCTCTCTCAGGATTCTATTTTGCTTGCCACTTGACTTGTGGTGTTACCCCGGGGAGGTCTTGAACAACGTCTACCGCTTCCGAGAGGACGTGTTGCGAGGGGAGATGGAAGAGACAACGCCAGTCCGCAAGCCTGGGCTAGAAACTCCAGGAGGCACCTGATGCCATCCACGTCAGCATGGCGCGAGCGCGTGGCAAAGGGGATGGCAAAGGCAAAGACGGCAAAGACGGCAAAGATGGCAAGGGCAAGGATTGCTCTGAAGATAGTCTGGCCTCGGGATCGGGGGCTTTTTTTGTGTGCAGGACGGAAGGCACGGGGGCCCCGGCCCCGGCCACGACCGCCACGACCGAGGCTCGCGGAGAAGCCATGTAGGCTGCGCGTTGCGAGCGCCAAGCGCAGCCGAGAACTCAGGCGGGGGTGGCGGCGGCGGTGGCGGCGGCGGTGGCGGCTTCATGGGGCCCGGGTGCCTGGCAGTGCCTGGCATGTGCCTGGCTCGGAAAAGTCGCGCACTGCCATGTTCTCTGAGGGATCAAACAGCCCCTGGCCCTGGCCGGCCTGTCTACAGAGGCCCAGACTCCCAGACTCCAGCAGACTCCAGCAGACTCCAGCACAGAGCAGAGAGCAGAGCTCTGAGCACTCGAATCTCTCTCCCAGGCCAAGAGGTGCCACGAGGATATGATCGTGATTTCGATGCACCTCGCGGCTATGATGCCCGCAGAGACTACGACCCGCCGGGTCGGTACGATGCGCCGCGGGGCTATGATTCTCGTTACGACGCGCCTCGTGGGCCAGATTACGGACCTCGGGATGGAGGACGGGAGGAGTTCCGCCGGCAACCGAGTCGCAAGCGTCAGCTCACATTCACAATTCAGGACCTTCAGCACGCGTTCTGTCGTGTAGGTCTGTGTCTGTGGCATTGTCTGAAGTGTTGGTGACCCCGAGCCCGTCCCGGAGTGGGAACTCAGAGCAATCCCAAACGCGCCGCACGCATGGAAGAATACGAGGTCCAGTGCACACCGCCACAGCATGCTTGGCTCTTTGTCTGGGTGGACTGACCGGGAGTTCGGTGTCGCCCCGTCTACTGGAACGGGGCACGACCGATGCATGATGATGCCTGGAAAGCTTTCGTTGTGGAATGGGTGGCATGCCATCCGATGCCTTCTTGTCAAAGCAATGCAGAGCCGACCGTAACTCGCAGGGGTCGATCTTTTCGAGACTCAGAGTAACCCCGAGCGCTGCGGTGGGTTTGGGAGTTTGAAGGGTGAATACACGTGTAAGAATGCGCAAGTGCGTGGTTGTGGCTGGGAGACCCACAAGTCACCAAACCGGGCATGAACCTTTCGAGAACAGGTTCCACCGCACTGAAGCAACACTTGTTTGAAGCTGGCGCCTTAAGGTCACGATCGTGGTGGATATGCTCGAGATGATCGAGGTGGTTATGACCGGGACTTCAGAGGTCCTGACAGAGGTCGCGACCGAGGTCCCGATAGGTATGATCGACCCCACGACCGGCCGGCGGAGAGGCATGAGAGGTTCCGAGATCGTGACGACTACGATCGACGGGACAGAATAGACAGAGGATATGATCCTCGACCTCCAGAGCGCGACTGGAACGACCGAGATCGGAGTAGCTACGATCGTGGTCCGCCAAGCTTCGACAGAGACCGCTTCGACAGAGGCCAGAGCGAGCACTTTGCTCCAGAACGAGGCTTCGCAAGAGAGCGGCCCCCGGAGCGACAAGGAGGCGCGGGGGAAATTGTGATCAGTTGATCTGAGTTTTGTCGTGAGGGTGTGAGAATGTGTGGTGCCGTGACAATTCGTCCTCGGCGCCAGCATCTTGTGTGATACCGTGGCGATTCGTGTTCTGAATTGACAACCCCCGTCCATTGCGATGTGCTCGAAATGACAGCCATCTCGGTGGACCTGGCGTGTCCGAGCGCTGTGCGGCTGGTGCCGCATTGAATAAATCCCACTACTTGGCGGAGACACTTTGGTCATGTCTGTTCTGTGAACCAGTACATGATGGGACGAATTGTGGCCATGCAGTTGAATCCTCCAGTACATCGGGCAAGCATTTTGGCCGTCCTGAATCCTGCCGCTATATCGGGATCTTGGGGGAAGGATTTTGGTAATGTCTCTGAACCTCGTGGGCAGATTGGGGAAAGCTTTTAGAAGGCTTGAGAGAAGGGCTGTAGAAGGATTTGTGAGAGGGTATAGAACGGTTTCGAGAAGGGTTAAGTTTACGATGTGTGGATTGATGGATGGATGGATGGACGGACGGATGGGTGGAGGGAGGGAGGGAGGGGACGGACGGACGGAGGCATGAGACAGGATGAGATGATTTTTGGAAATCGACGGATGCGATAAGATGCCTCGCAGCGCTACACGCTTTCTTTGTCCATGCGAGGCTATGATGAGCGGCCGCCAGGTGGCCGAGATGGCGGCAAAGGAGGCCAAGGCCATGTCAGTGGGTGTGCAGAAGCAAAATGGCGAATGCTCACGTAGCAGTCAGTGCTTAGACACTGACTTTGAAACTGCAGGCGGTGCACCGGGAACCAAGATCTATGTCGGGAACCTGCCCACTGACATCAACAAGCAGGCATTTTGGTGTGATCTCAGGGGTGGCACTTTGTCACGATGTCTGGGAAGCCTGCTGTAGATGCTTACTGTCATGCCACTGGACATGCAAATACACACCGGGTGAAGGCACTTGGCATGCTCCTACATTGAAGCAGACCGAACACGCACCTCTAGCCATGCAACTTTTGTGGTTGGCACGCGCTGGTTTCCAGTGCACTTCCCAGCATCATCTTACACGGTCCTGACCTATAAAGGTGACTGCATTGCATGCACATGTTGCTGGCCAGCACGGCAAACACCTGGGGCGGGGGTCAAAAAGGGAGAGACCTGCCAATGGAACAAATGTGTGCCTGGACCCAGATGTCAGTCACGTGGTTCAAGGGTGCATGACTCGAGCATGCAGAATGTGCAGGCCCTTTCGCAAGTGTTTAGCAGTTATGGGCCTGGCACTCAGTAGCGGATGCCACATCCAATTCACACTTCTTCGGTCACACAGCGCTATTGGCATTCAGGCAGGTGGAGGATGTCCACATCATGACTGGCAGGCTCTCCGCGAAAAGAGCTGCAAATTGGTGCTCATGTCAGCCTTGCAGGTCGAAAAGCGGCCAAGCATCAGCTTTCGTGAGGTATTATAATTCCAAGGATGTCCCTGCCTTGGTTGAATCAGTCTCGCTTCTCTTCTGCTTCTATGACTCTAGCAAGGCCAACGATGCAATTCTTGCAATGGCCCAAGGGTGCGCAGCCGCAGGTTGATCGCTGACCTTTCCTTGCGCCTGCTTGGCTTTGGTTCACACATCCCCTGCAGCGGAAAGGTACGAGATCCGTCAGGGTGACGGACACATAGTTGTCCGCCTGGCAGATGGCGAGGCACGTTCGATGTTCGAGTGAGCCAAAGGACCGTTCAGAAAGGGAAAAGGGTGGCTGTTGCAGGGCCCGAAGGGGGGAAGAGGCGGCGACAGATCGAGGCCGTACTAGGCCAGCTCTGCTCCGGTGGTCGGAAGAGATACTTTTTCCTGCCGCACCCGGAGATCTGCCAGGGTATCTTTACCCTGGCTCTCGGCACCACGTTGTGTTGACCGTCTCCTGAGAGCTGCGGTTGATGTGTCTCACCGGTGAGCGATAGAGTTGGCGCATTGCGCTGCTGATCAATTTCCTCATGAGGTCGGCTGCCACTTGCAACAACATGACATGCAGTTCAAAGTCATAACGCGCGGTTGCTGATTTCATATGGTGGTTGCCATTGATGCTGTGTCGAAATGCTGCGTCGCCAAAACAGAGCCATGACTCTTTTTGAATTTCGTGGACGCTGGAGTTCAAGGGCAGGCAAGGCAAGGGCTAGGCAAGTGTTGGTCTGTGTCCTTCTTGTGTGTGTGTGTGTGAATGGCTCACCAATGCCCGATGTTTGTGACTGTTAGTGGCTACCCTCAGTCTGTCAACCCCGCTGGAACAGAAAGCACCACCGTGCAACAGACCTAGAGTATGGGAATCTCGAAACTTGGGACCACGCCTTTAGAGTCGGAACAGCAGCGGTTGAGATTGGAATACTGAGGCCTTTCACCTTCAGAGCCATTGAGCTCGGTGACGGTGCCTGGTTCCTGGTTGAAGTCGTTTGCGTGACATGGTATGGTTGGCTCGGAATTGACTGGAATCCACTGGTCTCTGCGAGGTCATCCTGGTGCCGGTCGAAGCCACAAGGATCAGCTGCTGTGTTGCTTCTTGCAGCCTCTTGCGCCGACAGACATGCAACATCGTATAGCTGTACAATGACACAGTCAGAAAACATGACTCGGTTGTGCTCCTCGGACAAGGCTGCTCGCGAAGAACGTGGACCGCAGAAGCTAGCGCAAGAACGAGTTTCTGACAAAGCCTACTGTAAAGACTGAGGCGTGTGGGAGACATGGTTCCCTTCAAAATCACAACACAACTGTTCTCACAGCTTGGGACTGGTATGCGTCGCCTTGCATGCCACCGCCGAAAAGACCAATGGCTGCTTACGAGCAGGAAGCGAGCGGCACACCAATGTAGACCGGGAGCTGGAATCGCCCATTCGTGAACATCAGTGCAGCAAGCATTGTCTAGAGTCTGGACCACTGATGGCCTCTGCTGGGCTGCTGGGCATTGAGGGTGCTGTTTGTGCTCTGCAGTGAATGGTTGTCCTTGCCTTCATTTCTAGGAAGAATGTTGCTTGGCCGTCGCAGCATTTGCAGCAACAGGGCAGCTAAGTCTCGTGGAGAGGGTGCTGTTTGTGATAAAACCAAGCCAAAGTTGCGGGATCTACCCAGCAGCCTTGCGAAGATGTGAGTTCGTTGAGGGTGCCAATTGTACTAAAACCAAGCCAAAATTGCGGGACCTACCCAGCAGCCTTGCGAAGATGTGAGTTCGTTGAGGGTGGAAAGCATGAGGAAGTCAGAAAATTCATTGAAGATCGATGTATTTGGACGGACAGGACCGATGCAAGCCACGTGACATTGATCAAGAAAGCCATTGCAGAGCATTGCGGCACCGGCGTCCATGAAGTCTCCATCATTCTGAATACCTTGAAGATCAAATCAGAGGCTCGTGCGACGGCAGCAGGAGGTTGGATACAGGCAATCAAAACTGCCAGCCCCTGGAAGATGTCACGAAGGTGGCATAGTAGCATAAATATGGAGCGAACTCCAAGTGGGAAGCGTCGGAGCATGGAAAATGCGATGTAGCGTTTGAGCGTGTCGTGCATGCCGTTTCCGCCAGATTCTTGAGTCTAGAAATCTGTTCTATCCAGGCAACCGGTGACTGAAGCTGCCCAGACTCCGCCGACGCGGCTTTTGCATCTCTGCCGTCACCTGCCAAAGCATGCCGAAGAACTTGTGTCTGACGACATTCCCAGCGCGACGCGGACAGCAGTAGAGACGGGCTATTGCGAACATCGCAAACTGCCACAGCTATTGGCAGTCGCTGGAAGCTGCAAAACAGCCTCGTGCGCGGGTACCCTTTGGCACGCCCGACTTCCGAGTTTTCGCAAACATTGTGCGCCGAATCTACAAGAACTGAGACACCGGTCACGCCAGACAAGTTGCCTGGCACGCTGCCAGCCAACAATCGCCATAAATCAGACAATAAGCTCTTCACTGGACATGAAGCACCTGTTTGCTAGCAGACTGCGGTTGGGAATATGTGAGGCATGCGTAGCATCACTATGCTTTGTTGAACTTCGTCCCTAGAGGGGCTCTCTAGAGAGTGTTGGGGGCAGGAGAGCAGCCGCAAGTCGGCTCCCAGGCCCAGGGAGATGTCGCGGGCTCGTCGGGTGATGTCGCATGTCGTGTCCAGACACGGTTCTGACCAGCTCTGCCCGGATTGCTGGGTTTGCTGGCATGATGCTGAAGGTGATCGCACCTGGGGCGCTCGGGAGCTTTTACCTGCAAGGTGCGTAAGCGAAGCTTATCCCGGTTGCCAAAAAGTCACTTTTGTCCTCTTGCCTAAGGTGCATTGGCAATGATGCGCAGTGTCGGTAAAGATCCCAATGAGTCGCACACTGAAGCTGTAGGAGTAGTAAGTAGTACCTCTGCGCGCGTCCGCACCGTCAGATGTTGTGCTACTTGTGAGGTTGATTGTTCACCGAGACGCTGATGTGGGTATCTACGGCGTTCGTTTTTTCAAGGCACCTTTTCGAATGTTGAAGCTTGAAGTTGACGAAGATGTGACAGTGTGTCAGGATGGAAGATGGATCTACGAGATTTTGGACGACCTTCTTCCAGAGTCAGAGCGCGAGCCTTCCGACCCGAAAACAGGAGAATCGTCACTGCAACCGGAGCCTGCAGCCCAGGCAGCGGCAACTCACCAGCTCCTGCAATGAACAGGCACGCGAGTCTCCAAGACAGGCTGAAGCACAGATGCAAGGCTGCAAAAGCTTTCGGCTGAACCAGGAATGGCCTGCCCTGATCGAAAAAGCGTGCGGCCTTCTTTTCGCGGCTATTTGTGATGGTACAGGGATCTCTAACTGGCCAGGTACGCCAAGTTGCATGGATGTTACGAAGCTGTTGCCACTGGCGCAGAGGAGGACGCCATGGAGGACAGAAGAGACACTCATTCGGCCTGACCCAGCCTCCACTTACCCGTACCTGCCCCAGGACCTCTTGGGAGTTAGCTCTGGTCGCTTTGCTGTGAGCGACTTCCCTGTCTGGGTGGGCCCCTGCTTTGCCGCTTTTTCGCTCCTAAGCCAACAATGCTTCGTCTGGTGTGGTGTCAGGCAGAATTGTGGCAACATCTCAGGAGCAAGCCGGAGCCTGTCGACTCGCAATCGTGTGTAATCTGTGTGAGTCACTTTCAAAGCTACCTTCCATGAGCTCCCAGGCGGAAAAGAGGCTTTGCTCTGGCAGCCATCCGGAGGATTCTAGAATGGCTCCTGACGTGTTCGCGAGACTGTAGAAGCCACAGCCTTCTTGGACAGCTGGCTGCAAGGAGGGAAGCAGCAGGGGAAGTGCCCTCTCTGCTGACAACCTCTGCGCATCAAGTCACCGTGCTTGCCAGGTTCTGTCTAGAAGTCCGCATGTTGCCAAACCTTGATGTTATGATGCAGCATTCACCAATAGCAGCAACGACACGACAGAGCTGCCAGTCCTTGTATCGTGCACGAGTCAGTATATTTGTTATACCGTGAGAGTCGAGAGAGTTTTTATCAAGCAATAGCAACCCTCTTTTTGATCTGACGAGGCAGACAGTGTGCCAGCTGTAACGATGTTTGGGTACATGTGCCCGCGCTGGCGAAGCTGCAATGGCGCTGTCACCGCAAACAGCGCGTAAGCGGACATGCTGGGGTGCAAAGGCTGCGCGGCCTTTGACCCCCGCCGAGGCGCTGAGACTGAAGGGCTTCGAAGGTGAAGATGGCAACGGTCTGCGGAGGCTGCAGCGCACTCCTCGAGTCTTCCATCGATCAAACGACATTCGACACACCAAGCGAAACGAGCTCCGGGCAAACCTGCTCCCGTGCATCCTCCAGGTCGACAGGGCCCCTTCAGAGGGAGCTTGTCTGGCATCAGATGCCGTGGAGGAGCATTCTGAGAAGTACAAGCACTACAAAGGAATTCTGACCGGAAGAAGTGAAGGTGAAAATGCGACTCAAGTCTTCGTGGAGAAGGATGCTTTCCCACCAGGTTGGGATCCTTCATGGCAGGCTGTGGAGGCTTGCCAGGGATTGCGAGACCTGGTCCAGGACAGGTCACTGCGATACCGAAGGCCAGTGGAGGAAATGGTGAACGTGAACAGCGACCTTCCCTTCCGACACGAGGCGGGGCTGAAAGGGTTAAGTGCATGATCGCATATTTCGGGGCTCAACCCTGAAGGACGCACCAGTTGATCTGGAAGAGCTGACAAACTCTTTGACGATCGAGTTCCAGAACCTTGAGAATTCTTGGAAGGGCACGAAGCAGGCATTCACGAGTCTTCAAATTGCTTCACGTGTGCCTTTACTAGTCAAAGACCCTGGTGGCACGGTCTTGGAGACGCAGTCCCTGCCGAATGATGTCCACACCCTCCGCCTGGACCTGAACCCTGGAGAAGTCCGACACATCGCCTGCAACATGAAGAGCCGGCACTTCAAAGGCGCCACAAGCAACTTCATATATCTATATGCATGCATATATATATATATATAACTGTATGTATGTATGTATGTATGTAGGTAGGTACGTAGGCATGTATATATGTATGCGTGTATATAGACATAGAAATATCAACATGATGAGATGTAACCACGAACAATAATTAATAAACTTGCTCAGTTTCAAAAATGGCCTCCGCCTCCGAATATGTGTGTTGTTGGGGTGAGACTTATTGGCACCGCATGGCGGTGCCTGTTCTTCCCAACACATCCCAAAACTACACTTATCAACCCCCCGGCCAGATGTCTAGTCGGTCCGAACGGGCCCAAAATGGCCACCGGATAAGTATCGCATCCCACATATATATATATATATATTACATTATATATGTACACATACATGCACTATATCATACATGTCTCCGGCGTCTGTGTGCTTATGAGTTGGGTGGTTTCGCATGTCTATCAGCTGCCATGGTAACCTTCGCAATTCATGTGCAGTTCATCCGCATATGCCAGAAGTTCGGGGTCACGCATTGCCTTGGGAGGCACGGCCTTGGAGCGGAGGCTAGTGCAGCTCGTGGACCCGGAGCGGAGCGCTCTCGCGGCGTTGATGCGGGCTCTGAAAGCCCGAGAGACCGAGGCCCGCGGGCACGCCGCGGTGCTCAGTGACCTTTTGCGTGAGGTGGGCACGACTGGGCAACTGTGTGACTATACTCGCGGTTACTCCCAAAGAAAAAAAGCACAACGGCCCTGGAGGTTTCTGTGCCGCTGCCGGCGTTGGAGCAGGAGCTGCGGCATCGAAGAGGCGACGCTGCGGGTGAGGAGAGGCTGCAGGCGCTGGTGGCGGACTCACGGCGGACCCTGGCACGTCTGCTGGCCGTGGCAGATAAGCTTGCCCCGGTCGCAGTGGCCCAAGACGAGCTCGGCGCTCCAAGGCTTGTGAGAGCTGATTCTCCCGACCTTAGGCTCAGCCGCTGGCGGCTTCTCTGGCGCATGCCATTGATCGCATGGCTCTGATTTGCGTGAGAGAGGCGCGAAGCCAAGCCTAAGGCCTAAGACTGGGCCGACTAGGCCACTAGGCAAGCAGGCGGCTCATTGCTAAGCTTGGGGTGGCTTCTCGGTCTTGCATTCAGCATGCACCTCTCGTTCGAGCAGCTTGGGACAGGCTTCGGTATCGTGGGAGTTTCTGCTGGGAGCCGTGTGATGACCGTCTCTGGTTCGACTTCGACTCGACTTTGCTCGCGGATTCGTTAGGTCAAAGTCTCCGGCCGTGAGCCAAATGGTGAGAATCAAGCCTCAAGAGGTGCATCCATTTCACAAAACGACAACTGAAGCACAGAGCAAAAGAAGAATCTGTGCTCGATAGAAGGCTATGTCTGTGACGTCGGAGCAACCGCTCAACTCCACTCTACATTCTTGCTTGGGCCAGCCAACATGCAGCCCCGAAGAAATCAGCACCTATGGGTGGGAGTTGGTGAGAAGCAGTCGGAAGAGAGTTCGATGCTGTAGGGGCTATGGACGATCCTTGACCTTCAGGTGGACCGAGTAGCCATCCGGTGTCATGAAGAATACGAGCAGTTGCTGCAGGTCGGTTGATGCACATCATTGTGCGGTCGTGCTTGATGCATGTGTAAAAGAAGCATTGTAGCAGTTGTAGCATCGAGAGGCCTTCTTTGAGAGCGACGTTGCCTCTCACCCAGCTTGTCGTCTGCGGCGGAAGTCCTTCGACTCAGCTTTCGCTTTTCGCTGCCCCTGCCCCTGCTCCGCTCTCAGGCGAGGAAGCAGGCGGAGGAGTTGATCGAGAAGATTGGTGGCCGCGGCCCCAAATGACCCGAAAGAGGGCTTGAATTTGGCGCCGGAGGCAGTTCTCTGTTTTCTGTTCTGCGGAGGGCGCAACGCCAGCGGCGACCTTGCAAGCAGACTGAAGGTCATGGAGGCTTGGTGCGAAAGCCACTGTGACGCAATTCCTTCCATTTTTCGAGCCGGCACATGGTGCCAGAACGAGCTCCAGCAGCAAGCTCGGACCCACGCCAAGCTCATCGACGAGAAAAACAGCCTCGAGGCAACGGCAGTGACTAGTGAAGCTGGGCAGCTAGGCTTGTGTTTGATCTTGCTCTACTAGTTGGTGTCGGGCAACCAGAACTCCTTGTGCTCCTCTCTCGTAGTTCGGGAAGGCTTTCGTTGTCTGCCCATCCTGATTGAGGTGGCCCTCGCAGAAGCGGAGAGCACCGGCGTGCCTTAGCCGGCATAGAGGGAAACAGTTGGATGCAGACAATTTTCTCTTCACTGATCAAGGCCGGACTTCGTGGCCGAGTGCGGCAGCTCGAGGAGGACGGCGCATTTCGCCCCGGTTCGCCCCCGTCGCCTTGTTTAGGTTCTACATCGCTCGGGGCAAGAACTGCACATTTGGAGGAGATACTTCACCTCCGTCGCCGACAGCCAGCTTGGCCTGACACTCAGAGTACTAGCAACGAGTTGGGCAGCCTTTTTTTTGGGAGGCTGGCGTCTGAAGTGAAGATGCCGGAGCAGAAGCGATGTCCGGCGGCCTTCCCAGAGATGGGAGGAGTTTCGGCGTATGTGTGGAGCCTTATGCTTTTCAGGTGAAGTCGGATTCTGAGACTTCCTTATGCGAGATGGAGTCAGAGGACACCTTTGCAGAGGCCCGCAGAGGGTCATGATCTCTCCATGCTTGGTTGCTCGGGCGGTGTGCGCCAGGCCGATCGGCAGGGGAAGAAAGATCGACCAAAATTGGAGGTTCCTTCACTATTCCGGGAAGAAACGCTTCATGACTTCAATGCACGATCCAAGAAGGCTTCCAACCAGTTTGTTGTAGTTCGAGAAGCTGTGCATGGGTTTGTGATACTTCTGTATGCCCTCTCCTCAATTCACAGAGCCTCAAAGGGTCTTTCAGACCGTAGCTCGAGCCTGACTCGATGCAATGCTCTCTCGGCGCTTTGCAGGTTGCGCAGCCTCCGGCACCGGCGGTCTTTACAGTGACCGGAACCGCCCAGACGGACACGGAGTTCTACTTCTGCAAGGGCGTGGTGCTCATGGCCCTTGGCTCCATCCAGTGCCAGTTGCGGCTGTAAGCCCGGGCGCAGGCGATGACTTCCAAGCACCCGACGAAATTAGCTTCGATCAACACAGCAGCATCTTGCAGCGGGATGCTCAGCATCACAGCGGAACGCGGGTCTTGCCTGTCTTGCGGCTTCACAGGACTGTGCAGAGGCTTTACAAGATGCTTGGCAAGTACGAGCGGCCTTGCTGCACAGTGTCCTTTGCTGGTGTGCCGCACCGTCATAGCGCTCCGCTGTGCGGACAGGTGGAATGCCAAGACGGGAAGCTTCCTGTACAGGAGTGCGCCGCAGCCATGGGATTTGGTGGTTTGCTAGCGGGGGAGGATTTGAAGTAAAGCTTCAGGGTTGTAACAGTGCATGGCGGTCATTTACGCACAGAGCAGTCCTCTTTTGGACAGATCTTTGCCAAGTGCTTGCTGGCTATCACCTTGACAAACCGTGGACAATGTGCGACGATGTCCCATGCAGAACATGGATGTCGTAGGCAGTCAGAGTTGAGTGATCGGAGAAGTTTGCCATCAGTTTTTATACCCACTGGGGCCTTCGTCGCTTGCGATCACTCGGGGTTTCTGTGCAGGACGGATGGGAGTAGCTCCGACGAGGGTATGGAGGTGCGCGAAAACTCTTGATATCATACTGAATTTCTGCTTCTTTGCACACTCTACCCTTGTTTCGTTGCGCAGAGCAAGCACCGCCACTGCAGGGCCAGCGCCGTCCCTCTGTGCAAAGATTGTCACTGTGCAGATCTCAGCCATATGGCCATACCGCAGAACTTTGGGCCCCAACTGCCATCCTTAAAAG